CTAATTTCTCCTGTTTGATGTGCCTTATTTTCTTAGTGTTTGAAGTAACAGTTTTTTGTTGACCTGGTGCTGATTACTCTTGTCTGTCTTTGGTGATTGGGACACTCATCTGTTTTAGTTACTGCTTTGTGACTCAGCTTCGTCAGAGTTGGCGTGAATTTGTTGATGCGTAAGGAAACTTTCTGCCACTGTTGTGTTGTCCAAGAGACTAGTAGCTCGCTTTTTGAGCTTCTTTCGCTTTATGTCGAAATATGAACAGCTTGGGGTAGCAGCTGGTTGCATCCTAAAAAAAGACGCTTCGTCATACTTGCCTGAATAAGCCTGCACTGCAAAAGCCCTTTTGACGAGAAATTCATGAGGCAGTGATGAGTGGTCTGACGAGGAGTTTTTGAATAACTCCTAGGAAACATTGAGTTCTGAGTTAAGAGCCTGAGAAGTTATGTTCGACGGGCATAATTGAAGTGTATAACCATTGGCAGCTGTTTGTTCCCATCTTGTCATCCTTGTTCCATTTATACGGGTAATTTCAGGTTTTCCGTCCTCGTACGCCTCCAGAAGCAGTTGATCTCGTTTCGCGTCTTCTGGAATACACACCAAGTGCTCGGCTCTCACCACTTCAGGCATGTGCTCATGCATTTTTTGATGAGCTGCGCCATCCCGATTGTAAGTTACCAAATGGCCGACCAGTGCCGCCAATTTTCGATTTCTCGGATCAGGAGCTACGCATCGAACCGAATCTCAATGCTGCCCTTTTGCCACCGAATTCTGTTCGAGGTTCGTTGTCGTTTCTACAGTCTTGCCATAAGTCAGAAGGCGCATTGTGGCAAGATCATGATTCCCTATACATATATGCATCGGCATGCTTGTCTTTCGAAATACTTGAACATTAAAATTTTTGAATTTGAAAAGCTCAAAATTTGGGGCTTTGTTTTCGACAGTGCATCAGACAATGAGTCTGAAACCTTCAAGGGCCTCCTGTTTCTTAATTTATAAACTCAAGTTTCACGTCAGGCTGGCGTCGAACTGGGAAAAGTTACAGCATAGGGATTCGCGAATGTAATTCATTGGTTGATACGGATTGGTTAGCCGAAAATTATTTCGGGTTCCTTTGCATTCTAATTTTATCTTTGTTCTTATCCAGGTTAACTTTTGTTACAGACTCGTACTGCCACGTTTTTTAGCGTTAGCAAATTTTCTGCAGCATGTTGATTGAAACATTGTAATAAAAAAAAAAAAAGCAGTCGCTTTGGATATATAATTAAGCTCAGCCACAGTGAGTCCTGAGCGGCTCATCGAAAACACGGGATTATAGCCAGCTGCCTTTCTGCATGCGCTCATTCACTTATTCCTGCTAGAAGTGGACTTATTTTCAGTATTTCCCAGGACTGGTGGGGTGTTATTAATATTTTTTATTCAAAAAGAAGTTTTTTAAAAAGAATGGCGAAAACTGGCACAGCAACAATTTTGCATATGGCTTTTTCTTGGATGAATAGCAGTTCTAGATACACTTATCTCTTTCTCTCCTTTGTTCTTTTGCGTGGTGCGAAGAAGCATTCAGGTTCCTGGTTCACTGTAGTTGGGACTGCATTTATTGTTATTTACAGCAGCAGCGTACTATAAGAAGTAAAGTTCCGTGATGACTGGCCAGACTTTTATTACAGAGATGCAGCCAAACGC